AGTCTGCATAGTGGCTGACTTGGCCTGCATGGTCCAGTCCCCTTTACTCACTGATCTCTTCTCCTTCTCCAGCCACACTGGCTTCCTGACTATTCCCCCATCCATAAGCATGCCCCTGCTTAGAGCCTTTGCTCCCATTCCTTTTTGCCTAAAACCCTATGATTCATTCTCCTCTTTCAGGTCTTTCCTCCAATGTCACCTTCTCAATGAGGCCTTTGCTGACAACTCTATTTAACATAGCAATGCTCTACCCCATTCTCTTATTTTCCTCACACTACGTATTAACTTTCAACATATTACATATTTAACTTAATTTCCGTATCCCTCATTCCTCCAAGGATAATCTTGCTGAGGGTAGAATATTCTTTTTTTTTTTTTTTTTTAATTGCTGTACTGCCATGTCTAGAACAGTGCCTGGGACATAATAGATGCTCAAAAAACACTTGCTTAAAAGGAATAAATGAATGAACTCTATATCCATTGTAATGTCATGTTTATCCCTAATACTATTTTATGTAAGCAAATTCTCAAAACAAACCCTTTGCAAGAGCAGAGATTCTAATTTTTGGTTTAAAAAAGATTGTCATTATAGTTTTGGTTAACATGAATAGGGGATCAATAAGAGATGACCCAAATCAGAGGCAGGCAGGACTGAAGACTATGGCTGAAACCATCAAATTGCCTCTTAGCTCTGTGATTTCATCTCTTTTTATTTTGTAGTATTGGGGTGGCATCTGTTCAGTCTGCATCTAACTGAAGACAGATAAGTACTGTAATAAAATGGGATATACACCCTATAGCACAGAGCGCCTACATTTTCAAGGACTCATGTTCACTGCTATAAAATGTATCATTACTTAAAAATGTAATTCCTCTCTTGCTCCTGGCAACTGCATAATTCAGCCTGGCCATTAGAGCTTGGAGTCCAGCTAGGCACTTTCTTTTATATTTGTTCAGCTTTACCTTCAAGTTGCTGTGGCAACAAGATCTGTGCTTTGCAGAACCTGAGAATATCAGTGGCCTCTGTTCAGTGCCCTGCTGTAAGTTAAGGAGCAGGCAGATGTGCTTAAGCAATCCACACAGTCGTGGAGCATGAGTTAACAAGGCCTGTGGCAAGCCTTGGGTGTGTTACTGTTATTTTAATGTCGGCAGGGCAACTATTGGCATTTGGAGTGAGACAGTTCTTCATTTTGCAAGGCTGTCCTTTTCTGCACTGGAACATCCAGTAGAATATCCCACCTAGAACTCCTGATCTCAGGTGATCCACTCGCCTCACCTCCTAAAGTGCAGGGATTACAGGCATGAGCTACTGTGCCCAGCCTGATGATTTAGATTTTCTATTCTTGGGCTTATTCTAACTTTTAAGATGTCATAATTTAGGGTCACTGGAAATGACTAATTTTTAAAAACAGTGGCAAAGAGCTGGATTTCAATAATATATTCATGTAACATTCTACATGTCTGTATCCATGCATTTTCCAATGGAATTGGAGTCTGGCCAACCAAATGTTGGCTCAAGTTTTAAAAACATTGGGCAGGATGACAAAACATATTTGGCCTAGAATCACTAATCTACCTCTATTTGAGGTATTTACCCTAGACATTTTAGACTAGCCACAATATACTTAAGTAATTTAGGTATGTATCTCATTGATACACAGTCCTTATCCTTGAGGGGAAGGTGCAGTGTCAAGACTCTCAGAATTGTCATTTTGAAGACTAAAAGTGTGATCATGTTTCATTAGTTTAGGTGCTGTAATTTTGGAATACATGACGGAGGAAGCTATTGTTTATATGATGTAGGAGAATGATGAGTGTGGTGAGGAAGGTGGGTGATAGCTAATTTTTTTGCGGGAGAGATTTAGAGCTTGTAACTGAAAAGTAATTCTGTATTGTCAAAGTTGGAAGACTAGAAAGTTTTAAGAATTTTAGGTCATTAAACATCTCCAGAGAATTCAATCTTGATATGAAAGGTGTTATTTATATTTTTGAAAACAACTTATATCTCTAAACACCACAAAACAAGACTTGAAAATCTTTAAAAGCCTGTTTTGTGTCTACTTTTTATAATTAAAAAAAAAAAAACCAAGCCAAAATACTGTTTCATGTTATTAAGGATGCTTCTTTTTAGAAATGGGGGATTGAATATGATGTGATCCTGTGAGGTCTGATCTTCTTGATGGGTCTTAATGTTGAAATGAGCATCTTCCTTTTAGGAAGAGAAGATGCCTTGAATTTATATCGACACATATGCTGTGTGTTGTTAGAGGGTAATGTGAATTAAAATAGCATATCAATTTCTTCACTTCGGTTTGGTGGGGAAGTGGAATCATAAGGTCAGTATTGATCAGATCAAATAAGATAAATAAAACAGTGCCACATGATAACCTGTTACATTATAAACACTAGGAATCATGTGTGATGTTTTTACCTTTATATCCTTTTCTCTACCAGTTAGGAGGTTGAGGAAATGTTTTAAAATAAATTTAAAAAGAAAGTTTGTATGCAAATGTCTTGTTTAATTATTTTCATGAAGTCCCACGTCAAATTCCCTATACACATTAACATTAAAAAGTTAAAAATTATGGTAAAGCCTTTAGAAAATTAGAATACATTTTTTCATTATTAGTACTTAATGACAAATTTACCATCTACTTGAGTAAACTTTGATTCATCATCTTAATGTAATAGTTCTGAAGGCAGGTCACAGCCTTAAGGAAAACTGCCACTGATGTGGAAAAAGATTATTGTAGAGTTACTTGGATTACTATGCTTTGGCAAAAGGATATGAAAAGAAAATGCTTTGTCAACATCAAGCTAAAATAAATATGATGACTGGCATGGAACATAACAAGATTTACAAATTTATCTTCAGTTATTTTATACATGATCTCAAGTTTTATCTTTCAATAACTTTTTTTTTTTCTGCTTACAAAGATCTAATCATACGTATTGGATAGATATTGAAACTGCTAAAAACCAATGAAACAAAAAAATCCCCAAATAATTATCTGTAATGTCATCACTTAGCCATAACTGTAAAGTAATGGGTAGACTCTGAAGTCAGACAGATATTGGATTTAAGTATTTATTCCTTCTTATTATTTATCTTTAAAAGTTTAGCTACTTGACCTTTCTGTGCTTCAGTAATTTTTTTCATCTATAAAATAGGGGTAACGATAGAATTTACCATATTGAGCTGTTTTGAGGACTGTGGTAAATATTGAACCTAGTACTTATTGTTATTTCCTTCTATTCTTTTTTTTCTAAGCATATATTCTTATTTGTAGTTAAAAACATATTGTATATTTGTTTCTCTCTTTTTTTTTTTTCGTTTAACATCACGTTATAAACATTTTCTTGTGGAATTTCCAGTTGATGAACAGCCTCGTTCTAAATCATTGACCACATTTCTTATTCTTTCTTTATGATAAATTTCAAGATACCCTGAATCAACTGATGACAGCCTATTTAGCTTACAGGCACATTCTGAAAGGAAATTGTAGCTTCTGGAGTTTTAACTGGAGTTTTAATCTTGCCACCATGACCTAATGGAATATCACATAACCTCCCTGGTGTGATCATTAAGCTTAGCAGAGCTTAGAGAATAGACAGAGGAATATGCGAGCTTGTTATCAGAGAAGGCTTAGGAGCCTTTCAGTCTGTGTTTGAACCTTGGTTCTGCAACTTTGGCAATTTTTTTAATTTTTTTTTTTTTTTTTTTGGGACGGAGTTTCGCTCTTGTTACCCAGGCTGGAGTGCAATGGCGCGATCTCGGCTCACCGCAACCTCCGCCTCCTGGGTTCAGGCAATTCTCCTGCCTCAGCCTCCTGAGTAGCTGGGATTACAGGCATGTGCCACCATGCCCAGCTAATTTTTTGTAGTTTTAGTAGAGACGGGGTTTCACCATGTTGACCAGGATGGTCTCGATCTCTTGACCTCGTGATCCACCCGCCTCCGCCTCCCAAAGTGCTGGGATTACAGGCTTGAGCCACCACCCCCGGCCGGCAATTTTTTAAATCACTCTGAGCCCTTTCTGTATAATAGGATAAAAATAATACCTATTTCTTGTGGTTGTTGGGAAGATTAAATAGTTTGATATGCAATCCTGGCAGGTGGTAACTACTTAATGAATATTAGTTCCTATTGTTCATTGTATTAAATACCTAAAGTTTGTTTTATGATTAAATGTGAGTGAATGGCAGTAATGTTCGCATGTAATATAAGTATAAGCTGTTACATGTAAAATAGGGTAATAGAAATATTTTTACCCCCAAAATGGATTGATTTTTTCCCCCATGTAAAGTAAATAACAGAAGTATTTTGTTTTATGTTTTGTGGCCAGAAGCCAGAATGGGAAAAGGCATTTGATTTAATAAACCTTATAAATAATTTTTAACAATTTTCTTCAGTGATTCAAAGGTAGAAAGTGATTTTCATCCAGATTATTCTTGTTGAAAGACAAAAATGCTTTACGTTAGTTTTTTAAAAATTAAATTTAAGCAAAACACCTGCAGATAATAATGACAGCATTTATAGTGTCTACTATATGCTACACACTGCTCTAGGTACTTTATTTATAATAACTCATATAATTCTCACAATGCCATATGAAGAAATTTATTTTATTGTCCCCATTTTGTAGATGAAGGAACTGAGGCACAGCGAGGTTAAATAACCCATATAATCCTCACAATGCCATATTTATTTTATTGTCCCTATTTTGTGGATGAAGGAACTGAGGCACAGAGAGTTTAAATGACCTGCTGAAGGTTATACAGCTTGGGACAAAATTCTGTGGCATATAGTCTTGCTCCAGGGCTTGTGCTTTTTAAACCAGAAAGCAAAGAATAAAATTGAGTACAATGCCAATGTGTTTGCAGTGAGTTTGTGTTAATACAAGAATTTGATTACTATTAAATTCAAGAGCATGTTTTAAAAAATTCCTCTGTTCTTTGGAATATATGTGTGCAAATTTCAATTCATTTTTCCCCTTTTAGTTTTTCAGTTATGGGACAAAAGTATTATATCAAAATACTGAAGCTTTGCAGTCTAAATTCTTTTCACCCCTTCAAAAAGCAATGCTACCACCGAATAGTTTTCAAGGAAAAGTGGCATTCATTACTGGGGGAGGCACTGGCCTTGGTAAAGGAATGACGACTCTTCTGTCCAGCCTGGGTGCTCAGTGCGTGATAGCCAGCCGGTAAGTCCGTCACATCAATTCTATTGGTGACGCTTTTGAAGAAACTGTTCTGTGCCCTAGTATTGAAACCACCATTCCCAAGAGTTGTTTGATTTGCATCTTAATCTTATGTGATATATTCGAAATATTCTTTAAATAAATCTTTCTAGAAAAAGTTAGGTACTGTTCGAGATGAAAGAAACAATGAAAATTGTGGAACTGATGATGTTTGGGTAAACATCCACAATTTTCATTACTTGAATTTCCCCAACTCGGTGGTAGAATATTTCTTTTTCTGTACATGAAGATGAAGTTAAAAAGTACTACATGGAACCAGGTGGGATGGTGCGTGCTTGTAATGCTGAGAAGCTGAGGCAGGAAGATTGCTTGAGGCCCAGAATTTGAGACCAGCCTGGGCAGCATAGTGAGACCTTGTCTCAAAAAAAGCAATTATTTTTAAAATACTACATGAAGGTTGCTTTGTCTTCAGTGGGAATGATTATGATTACTACTTTAATTAATAATTAACTTTATGCCGGGATAATTGATGCAGTACTTTCATTTTCTTTTCTTTCTTTCCTTAATTTTTTTTAAGACAGAGCTTTCAGGCCTGGCGCGGTGGCTCAAGCCTGTAATCCCAGCACTTTGGGAGGCCGAGGCGGGTGGATCACGAGGTCAAGAGATCGAGACCATCCTGGTCAACATGGTGAAACCCCGTCTCTACTAAAAATACAAAACATTAGCTGGGCATGGTGGTGCGTGCCTGTAATCCCAGCTACTCAGGAGGCTGAGGCAGGAGAATTGCCTGAACCCAGGAGGCGGAGGTTACGGTGAGCCGAGATCGCGCCATTGCACTCCAGCCGGGGTAACATGAGTGAAACTCCGTCTCAAAAAAAAAAAAAAAAAAAAAAAAAGACAGAGCTTTGCTCTTGTCACTCAGGCTGGGGTGCAGTGGTGCGATCTTGGCTCATTGCAATCTCCACCTCCCAGGTTCAAGCGATTCATTTGCCTCAGCCTCCTGAGTAGCTGGGATTACAGGCACCAGCCACCACGCCGGGCTAATTTTTGTATTTTTAGTATAGATAAGGTTTTGCCATGTTGGGCAGGCTGGTCTTGAACTCCTGACCTCAGGTGATCTGCTCACCTTGGCTTCCCAAAGTGCTAGGATTATATGTGTGAGCCACTGTGCCCGGCCAGTACTTTCATTTTCTATAAGGTAAATAGATATTTCAAAATATCTATTATTGTGATGAATATAGGAAGGGTAAGACCAGATGGAAGGAATTTCTTCTTATTAGGCATATTCTGGTACCCTATAACTGTAAGCCTGAGGCTTTAGAGACTGGTTTAAAAATTCACTCTTTCACCATTTTGAATGGTGTAAAATTTTTGGTAGGCCAAGTGGTCATCCAAACAACAGTCACTGTGTCATTTGCAACTTCAGATTCTCCAGAACATTTTTGTTTTCACATTGTTTTATATATATATATATATGTTTTTTTTTTTTTTTTTTTTTTTTTTTTTTTTTTTTTTTGAGATGGAATTTCAGTCTTGTTACCCAGGCTGGAATGCAATGGTGTGATCTTGGCTTACTGCAACCTCTGCATCCCAGGTTTAAGTGATTCTCTTGCCTCAGCCTCCCTAGTAGCTGGGATTACAGACATGCACCACCACGCCTAACTAATTTTTCGTATTTTTAGTGGAGATGGGGTTTCTCCATGTTGGTCAGGCTGGTCTCGAACTCCTGACCTCAGGTGATCTGCCTATCTCAGCCTCCCAAAGTACTGGGATTACAGGCGTGAACCACCATGCTTGGCACATTGTAATGTTTTTAAGCATTTTAAAATATTTTCATTTTAATAATTCATAATTTTTATTCATCTTTTTTGTAGAATGAGAGACTGCATGAATAAATGTAGACTCTTTGAAACCATAATTTAGCCCAAAACCTACTTACATTATACCATAAATGTATTTTCTTTGTAAAGCTGGCTTATTAAGGAAATAATTTAAATTTATGAGTAGATATTGTTAAGTGGTTTAAAAGTGACTAATAAATTAGTATCAAATACAGAAAAATGATTTAAATTTTACTTTTAGAAAAAATTCACATTGATTTTTGTGTGTAAATAAAGTCTATATGTTCTCAGAAATGCTTTTCTTTACACTGTATTATTCAATTTATGAAACTGAAAAATATAATATGAAGTCATACAAGGTGTTTATTTCTAGGAAGATTGATGTTTTGAAAGCCACTGCAGAAGAAATTTCTTCTCAAACTGGAAATAAGGTACATTAAAAATCAATAATTTAGATTTAGGAACTATAACATTTCAGTTAATTTGTTCATACTTTTGGTTTAAGCAATCTGGAAAATATCATATTATTTTTGTTATTTTGCAGGTTCATGCAATTCAGTGTGATGTAAGGGATCCTGATATGGTTCAAAACACTGTGTCAGAACTGATCAAAGTTGCAGGACATCCTAATGTAAGTGTAGTGATGATGAAGTCAAAGGGCAAGACATTTAGTATTGATAACATCCACCAACATGTACAAAGGAAATAAAATATTGATACACATGTAGGACAGGGAAGCTGCAAGCTGGGGCTTAGACTGGGAAGTTTCTTGCCTTCACCCAGGAAAGAATTCAAGGCTGAGCTACTAGTAGAAAACAGCTTTGTTGAAGCAGCAGCAGTGGAATGGATCTGTGACTGCTCCTTCAGAGCAGGGCAACCCCGTAGTCAATGTGCTGGGCAGAGCAGTTGAGAGGCAGTTTTATAGTCATGTTTATAATTAGGTTTATGCAGAAATTTCTAGAAAAGGGTTGGTAACTTCTGATTCGTCAGTTTATTGCCATGGAAAGGTGAAGTAACTTGCTGGCATTGCCATGGCAATGGTAAACAAACATGGTGCATTGGTGGGTATGTCTAAAGAGGGGGTGCTTTCATCCAGGACATGGTTTAACTAGTCCTTAATTTGCTCCTGTGATGGAGCTCTGCCTCCAGAGTTGAGGCCCACCTCCTACCTCAATATGTGCAAGTGCTGTGTTGAGAAGCACCTATTTTCTGTCCCTAGGAAAATGCCAGCTCTGCTAAAGCATCGAACAGAGTAGGAAGACTGCTACACAACTTCCTTTCAGAAATACTTAAAGAATCCATCTATGATTGATCATAAAACAAACTTGATTTCACTTTATTTAATAAGATTATGAAATAGCAAGAGCAGTCATCCAAGAGCACAGCATTGAGTTTAAATGATTCAAGCTCTTTGCTTCTCCTAATAACTTTTGATTATCATCCTCAGTGAAGGAAAACAATATAAACATGAAAAACTATAAGAAATTAAAAATTTCTCCTTTTAAGACCTGAAATATGCATTAATATTTTGCTGTTGCTTGGTACATTTATTGGAAAGAAGCTATTTGTTCTAGTAGTCTCAAAAAGGGCACTTTTCTATGTTACAGATATTTGCAGAGATACCAAAAACATTGAATCTCCTGTAGAACTAGGCAGAATCTTTATTGATGGTAAATAGATCATCAACCACAAGTTGCATTGGTTAAGTTAGACTAAAATGACACCAGAAACAAAAAGGCATTTCGTGAGATTTCTTGAAATCAAATGCAGTCACATTGTAAATATGTTTAATCTGTATTTTCTTTTTTTTTTAACTTTTAAAATTTTATTTATTTATTTAATTATTTAGAGACAGGGTCTTGCTCTGTCACCTAGGTTGGAATGCAACTGGCACAATCACAGCTCAGAGGAGCCTTGACCTCCTGGGCTCCAGTGATCCTCCCACCTCAGCCTCCAAAGTAGCTGGGAATACTGGCATGCACCACCACACTGGGCTAATTTTTAAAACAAAATGTTTGTAGAGATGAGGTCTTGCTTTGTTACCCAGGCTGGTCTTGAACTCCTCCCAAAGTGCTAGGGTTACAGGCATGAGCCACTGTACCCAGCCTTAATTTTCTTAACAAGAGAGTCTATCCTAATTTAAAGATGGCTTAGGATTCTGAAATTTGGTACCTCACAAGGAGATTTTCACAGACTCAGACTACCAGATCTCATGGTATTGCTTTGTAGGTAACTACGAACTTCAACTTTATTGTATTATTTCTATTAATACATTTCAGAAACAAAAACCCTGCAGGGAAAATGTTTTTCCTCATCTAAAAGTTTCTGTACTTGCCTTGTTCATTTATTAGATTGTGATCAACAATGCAGCAGGAAATTTTATTTCTCCTACTGAAAGACTTTCTCCTAATGCTTGGAAAACCATAACTGACATAGTTCTAAATGGCACAGCCTTCATGACACTAGAAATTGGAAAACAACTAATTAAAGCACAGAAAGGTATGTTTATTTGCTTTTCTCATATTTATTTGTCTCCTATATGTGCAAGGTTCTGTGCTAAGCTCTGTGATACTTTAAAAGTCAATGAGACAGTCTACACTTGTATGACTCACAACGTAATGGAGAAAAATGATAGTTAAATAATTATCATGTGTTACGGTTTGAGCAGTAATAAATAATATGTTTCAAGTGCATTGGCAATCCAGAGACAGGAATGACTAACTCTCCCTAGGGTCAGTGATCAGGTTGAGGAACAAGATGCAATTTAAGCCGAAAGTTTAAAGATCTAGATGTGGAGAAGGAGGAGGGAAAGGACACATGAATGCCTGTAGCTGGAGGCTTGGTGGAGAGGAGGTGCATAAGTACATAGGGAATGATGAAAAACTTGATGTCATTAGAGATGGGGAAAGGAGTAGGAAATGACTTTGGGAAGGTGGTTTGGAGTGTAATTGGGAAGTTCTAAATAGCAAAATAAGGAGTTTAATGTTAATTCTGAAAGAAATGGGAAGTATTTTTGTATGGATTTCCATTGAAGGCCGGAACAAAGAATGTGAGTTGATTGGAAAGGTTATTGACAACAAGATGGACAATGGAAGGAAAGCCATTCAGGAGGATTTGCTTTTTCTTTTAGCATGTGATTGATTGGATGGGAAATAAAGTAGGGGACATTTAGAAGATAAGATTAACAGGCCTTACTGCTTCAATGAGAGTGTTTTCAGATGGGGTGAAGAGTTTGGATAATGATGATACCACTGAGAATAAGAACACTGGAGGGAAAATAGATTTAGAGGGAACTTATTAGGAGAACATTTTTGTTAGTATTATGAATGAATTTCTTTATAGAAGTTCATATGTATATGAATGGTAAACATAGTCAATGTATGTATGTGTACATTCATATGTATCTAGAACCAGCATACATTTATTCACTTAACAGACACTTACTAATGACTTTTGTATAGCAGGCCCTATACTCATTCTCAAAGCACAGAGAAGGACAAGACTCTGTCCCTGAATAATTTGGGGAACTTGAAGGATGGGGTATTTCCCAGCTTAGGTGGAGAGTATTCTGAACAAGGAAAATGAAGAAGAGTTCTCATGCTCCTCAGAGGATGACCTTTGAGGGTTGAGGGGAGGAAGGAAGGAATGGAGTTGGCCAGGTTCCTCTCTCTGGTTTAGAAACCTTTGCCTTATGAGATTCAGTTTCTTCTTTTGTGCAGCACAGGTGATCCTAGCACCTGCTTGAGATAGGTTGTAGGAGCAGACAGCGGGATGCTACAGAGGCACTAGCTGTGTGTGTGTGTGTGTGTGTGATTGTGCACGTGTGTGCATACATATGCACACTAATAGCTTCTATCCTTTCTCTATGCAGTTATTGAAATGGAAATTTCTGCTTACATATTTCCATGACAGCATAGAGGATATGATTTATATTTGGAGTTTGGATGATAAGTGTTTGATTTTGTTTTGTTTTGTTTTTTTTTTGGTGGGAGGGCAGGAAGATTGATGAGTGGGAAGGGAGAAAGGAAAGAGTGTGATTCCTCTCTCCTCCCGTCTCTGCCCAGGGAACCTTGGTCTCTGTATCCCTCCTGTGTCTCTGCCCCTGTCTGATTTTCTTTTTCCCTACCCCTTGCTCATGTCTCAATTTCATTCTCTACTGCTCTGCCTCTGTCAGCTCCTCATTTTTGGTTTTCTGTTTCTTTCTTCATCTCAGTCTCTTTCATTTATTTGTCCTTCTTTACCTCATTGTCTCTTATTTCTTCCCTCACTCATGTCTGTGACCCTCGATTTCTGTCTGACTCTTTCTTCTTTCCTCATTATTGTCTTTCATTTTAACATAGACTCTGATCTATTTTCGTTCATCACATTGGATTAAAATTCTATGGGCTTCATTAAAAATAGATTAGATATCTTTTTAAAAGATGGAAGCCAGTTTTTATTCTTCCAAGATTCCTGTCAGTTATTGATGTTATAAAATGACAGTTTGGAGAACTTGGACCACTGGGCTGAGGGGAGTACATGGTTAAAGGATTTGTTCTAGTACTGCATCGGCAGTCAAGGAATTCAAGCGTGTTAGTGTGTGTAAAACCTGGAAGTCAGCTCAGGGACCAGCAGTCTGTGGTTATCTGTGATCAGAAGTAGGTTAGATGATGGCATCTAGGAAGTCAGCCAAGGTGAGATATCTACGAAGTCAGAGCAGAGAACACAAGGGTACCAGAAGCTGGAAGACAGAAGCTCACTTGCTGTGGGCAGGAATTGGTGGTGACTCAGAGGGGACAGCAGACGACTGAGGATCAAGAGGGCAGTGGCCTTAGGAAAGGCAGAGAAACTAGAATTAGTCAGGCAGCACTGATGCAAAATGAACAATTATAAACAAACCAAAGATTTAGGAAACTTCCAAAGACATTAGCTGAGTGAACTCTCACAGCTACAAAGGTCAAAAAATAGATAGATGGTCCTTATTGGGAAGGATATTGAAAGTATCATGGTGAGGTTTGTTCCTCACTAGAATCTAATGTATAAAAATGAAAAAAAATAGTAGTATGGAGAAGACCACCCAATTTTATTAAAAAATTGAGGGACCTTGCAATCACAAAAGACTGAGAGACTAATACAGAGTTTTAAGAGTCTGAGCATGAAAGATATGGATAGGATAAATATTGAATTTTTCCATCAAATCCTAGATTGTTAGAAAAAAAAGTACTGTACTTCCTAAACCTCAGAAGAAGTAATTTTAGGACAGAAAGGAAAATTATTTTGTTGAAGTGACTTTAATAATTGTCTTTTTTTTTTTTTTTTTTGAGACGGAGTCTCCCTTTGTTGTGATCTCAGCTCACTGCCACCTCGACCTCCTGAGTTCAAGTGATTCTTCCACTTCTTGACTAGCTGGGATTACAGGCATATGCCACCATGCCTGACTAATTTTTGTATTTTTAATAGAGATGGGGTTTTGCTTTGTCGGACAGGTTGATCTCAAACTCCTGATCTCAAGTGATCCTCCTGCCTTGGCTTCTCCAAAGTGCTGGGATTACAGGCATGAGCCACGATGCCCAGCCATAAATAATTGTCTTAGTTAGTGTGGACTGCTATAACAAATTACCACAGACTGGGTGGTGTAAGCAACAGATATGGTCAGGTTTTTGGTGAGGGCTCTGTTCCTTGTGTCCTTAGATGGCCTTTCTTTGATGTCTACACATAGCTAGGGATCTCATAGTGTGAAACCTTCCCACCCATGTGGAACTGTAAGTGCAATGAAACCTCTTTCTTTTGTGAATTGCCCACTCTCAGGTATGTCCATCAGCTGCATCAAAATGTACTAATACAGTTTCAACATCTGGATTCTCAGGAGGCACACACATTTAGTCCATAGCAGAAATACTTATGTACCATTATAGTGTTTCAGAACTTACAAAGCTCTTTCATATACTAGTATGAAAAAGGTACAAAACTCAAGTATAAACCTAAATACAGGATTTTAAAAAAATGTAACAAGTAAATCAATGCCATAATACAACCTTTTTTGAAAAAAAAAAATAGAGATGGGGTTTCTCTACGTTGACTAGGCTGGTTTCGAACTCCTGGCCTCAAGAAATTTTATCTTGGCCTCCCAATGTACTAGGATTGCAGGCATGAGCTACTATGTCTAGTTACTATAATATAATTTTAACATATTATTTTTATAATAGTTTGCTAAAATTGAGGTAAAATCTACATATAGTGAAATGCAGAGATCTTAACTGTGTACAAATTTATGTTTCAATAAACTTATCAACTTAGACACACATACCCCAATCAAGACAGAACATTTCCATTACCCTCAAAGATTCTCCTTTGCTACCTTCCAGCCACTATCTATTTAAATCCTTAGCCCATTTCTTATTGGATTATTTTGTCTATTATTCATTTGTAGAAATTCTTTATATATTCTCTACTGATTACTTTGTCAGATATAGTATGTATTTAGAATATTTCCTCCCAGCCTATGGTTTTCCATTTCATTTCCTTAACAGTATCTTTTGATGAGCAGAAGAAATTTCAAATTTGGATTAAGTTTCCAAACTGTTTTCTAAATTGGCTATACCGTATTGCCAATAGCATTCCCGATAGCAGCGTATAAGTTGCAGTTGCCCCACATCCTTGCCAAATGCTTGCTATAGCTAAGCTTTTTAAACGTCAGCCTTTCTAGGTTTTTGTAGTGGTTTTTCATTTGTGGTGTTAACTTACATTTTCATAGTGACAAATGATGCTGAGCATCGTTTCATGTGCTTATTTGTCATTAATATATATTCTTGATGAAATGTCTGTTCAAATCTTTTGTCTATTTTAAAAGTTGAATTGTTAAAATTTTTCTTCTATGCTTTTTGTATCTAAGAAGCCTTTGCCTAACACAAGGTCACAGGTAATTTCTCCATTGTTTTCTTTTTGGTAGTTTCATAGTTTCCCCTCTTACTATTTAGGGGAGAGAATCATTTTAAATTAATGTGTGCATATGGTATAGGGGAAAGGTTGAGCTTAATTTTTTTGCTTACTCTATTCATTCTTTTTCATTGAATTGCCCCAGACTATTGTTGAAAATCATTTAACATATACAACATGTGCCACATGCAAGTGTACCACTTTTGATCTTTTATACTGTATTTTTACTGTGACTTTTCAGGTATATGTATATACGTGTGTGTGTGTGTGTGTGTGTGTATATATATATATATATATGTCGGTTTCTGAACTCACTATTCTGTTCCATTGATCTGTATGTCTATCATTATTTTGTCTTCATAATGTATATATAAACACATAATATATGGTCTTGTTTACTTTTACATATATTGTATGTTTTATATATTATATGTATTCATTTCTTTAGCTTGATATTAACCTGAAATGAGGTAGTATGTTTCCTCCAACTTTATTTCTTTTGATAATTGTTTTGGGTCTTCTGTGTCCTTTGCATTTTTATAGAAATTTTAGAATTGATAGTTTTTTTTTTTTAAAACTATTGT